TCTCGAACAGCCTAGTGATTGCCAATTATGGTGCCCACAATATTGTTCGGTGGGTTATAGGTGCTAGTGGTTGGACACTTATTGCTGGATATGTCGGATCATCTGGTAGCACATCAATGACGCTTTTGTACCCTACAGATGCGATATTTGATCCAATGGGAAACATTTATGTGGCCGACCGTAACAATGAGCGTATACAATTTTTTCGTGCTAGCCAACCAAATGGAACAACTATTGCCGGTGCTACACAGTCATCTGGTAATTCAGCCAACTTACTCTATCGTCCATACGCGATGGCACTTGACAAACAACTTAATCTGTATGTGACGGACTCAAGCAATCATCGAGTACAAAAGTTTCACCGATACTAAGTACAAAACTGATTCATTATACTGAACAATGAATATACTTTCCTTTTCTCTCCTTCGCCTTTCTTTTAAATACATTTTTCTACTTTTATATATCTAGTGACTATCGCTCAAAGTACGCGATGGACGAGGTATGGAAATATCTGCATTTGATTTCGCATTTGTAATGACGTTATAGTTCATGACGTCCAAATAGATCGATTCATTTTGACTCCGTTTTGAATATCTTTCTGAAGTGAATTATAGTACTCTACGGCTTATTGAATTCTATACATGTTCGATGAATTTGAATCGTGTTATTAGTTTAATATTTCAAACTTTGCTCATGTGACGGTGATACTTTGACGTTGAATATATACACAAAATGGTTAGTCAGCAGTCATCAGGTAATCAGTCGTTGATATGAAGTCTAGTAGAAAATGTGGCATTTCTTTCACATTATATGTAATTTTAGGGTGTGGGTGTGGATGAAGAAGGTGTGAGGGTGAGAGAGTGAACTCATTCAGATTCAAACCCACGCATCCACACTCACACCTACATTCACGCTTTCCACACCCACACCCATACCCTTCTATTTATCACATATTCATAAATGTAATCAGAGAAGATAAAAGAGAAACATTCGCTCAATAAATTTATATATTTTATATGAACTCGTTAAAAACATCTTGTAAAACGACATTTAATTATAACTGACTGTTGTATACAAGATATTTTTGATGAATTCATATCAAAATTATGAATTTATTACGCGAGTGTTTCTCTTTTTTTCTGGTTTCATTTCGTTTAGGAATATATGATAAATATAAATTATACACTGATCTAAACAGGAGAAAATTCTCTATGTTTTAGTAAAAGAAGAACTTTCTTCAGCACCCTTCTATCAAAAAGAAATAGGAATCGGCATTTAATAATCGAGCACTTAAATTCAAGTTTTGAATATAACATGTATGTGATTCGAATTGGTTTCATTGAATGAATATCTTTCTTAACATTCTTCTACTAAGTATATAAGTTTTTGTCTAAATTAAACAGTTATCAGTGTTATGTGATAAATTTTTTTCATTCGAGATGTGCGAAATATTGACCAACACTAGAAATGTCTTTTTGATAGAGGTCTATTTTAAACAGGAAAATATTTTCTATTCATTCTTCAATTGAAATTATTTAAAAAGAGATAAAATAAGATAAATATCATTTCGAAAAAATTTGTTTAGATTAAAATGAATAGTTTATTTATATAAATGAGTAAATAACAAAATTAGTAATAATTTACAAAAAAGAAAATGAGTGGTATTTCAATGATATTTATTAAAGATAATGATTGTCAAGCAAAACAACTATTATCAATACATGATATATCTTCCACTATTTATATTTTCAATTTCAAAATTCGAACAAAATTTATCAAAATAGATCAAACTGGAAAGCAACTCATTCGTGTTAATTATTTTCTCCAACAAATATATAATAGTGCTCAAATGGATTTTAATTGTCATAGTTTAATTGTTGAAAATAAAGTTCTGTTTACGAAAAATCCTTCTTCTAACGAAGAATTTAGTAGAACAGAAGTTAAAAATAAAAAAACTACAATAGTTGCATGATTAAATAGAAAATTACAGTTTTACATCAAAATCTTATTATCATTCAAATTTTTTTTGAATCAATCAATTCAAATAAATAATGAATTGTTGGCAAAGAATATGCTGCAAAAACAAAAAAGAATAACAAAAAAGAGTTTTTATTAGGTTTCCACTTAACGATATAAACACAGTAGATAAATATTCGAATGATTCTATTCAATAAGCTATTTCAAATGATTGGTATAATTCTATTAAAGATTTTTATATGCCAAAATTTTATTCTATAATATCAATTAACTTAAAAGTTATATAACGCTGTGGGTGTGGATGTGGGTGGGGGTATGTGTTTGAATTGAAAACAAAGACCCACACCCACACCCTTTCTCGAGAAAGAGCAATATTAATTTGATGCAAGCTTTCAATAGAAAAATATCGAGATATGAAGATTCTATTCGCAGTTTTCAATGCGGAGCTTTAGTGTGATTATCAGAAAAGGTACTAGCAAGCTCACATCCTGGAAGAGTTTACATGAACTCCAGACAAGGATTTAAGCAAAAAAACCGATGAACTCTGTCAGACTTCGAATCTAAAAAAATCCTGAGAAAATGCTATCAGGACCTTGTTAGGAAGATTGAAAGAATGAGAATTCCGAATCCTTGAAGAACAAATGTGCATTATTTTCCGTATGTGTTTTGGGAACCCTAAGGATCCAATGTACGTCTTTCAGGAGGCTTTTCACATGGTTCAATAAAATTTCTGATCGCATGATTCTCTGAAATATGAATGCAAATCTATCGAAGGATCTCCTAAACATTCGCATATAAATGCAGGTGGGATTTAACCAGATTTTGCGAGCTTATGTCAAGCTGTTCGAAGGAGGATCCAGATAGGATATAGAGTTACATAAGGAAAGAAGCTTAGCAAGATCATAATAGTGCTTGCATGTATCGATAATTGAGCAATACTAACAGAATTTCACACGGATCTTTCGAAATTGACACCTCTTATTTAGAATAATGTTCCCTCGACTATAGGAAAGATCACATAAAATAAAATGAATTTGTGGCTATATTTGTGTTAGCGTCCGTGATGAGTCACACGAACGCTAAACGATGATCTCGATGCGCCTTCTAGTCTAATTGGCTTAGGACAACTGCCCGGATAGCAGAAAGTATGGGTTCGAGTCCCATGAAGGTCATCGTTTCCATCGTTCTGTCACATAACATCAGTGACACTGCTTATCTCTTTCGTTCTACACATATGGCAGCTAACAAGACTAATTATTTTTTGCACAAGACAAAAATTTTTTTGTCATAGCCCTCCGAAGAACCGAAAAAAAAAATTATTTTTCAATTTCAGTTCAAAGGATCCTATCAAAAATCATCATATTTTCCCCCGTTCCGGAAACATTATAAAATGAAAGGTATCTTACGAGGGAGGTACCCCAACTGTTTAAAAGCTTTTGACTCCATCTTTTGGCTATAAGTAGGTTTCAGTAAGACTAAGAAAACTCTAAAAGGATTCATGCCCATGGTTCTTCCTTCCCAAGATACAACCATTATGTATGTCAAAAAACAGGCTTTCTATCGGCTTTTTGAAAAAATTGTTTCCCGTAGGTCTAAAAATTTTGGACTTTAAACATATTCAAGAAAATCGATTATGGGTACTGATATATATAGATTTCAATTATCAATTCGATTAAACTACGAAGAACTAAAGATTTAATAGCAAAGCACCAAATCTGAAACAATTTTTTTTATATATGAGAAACAAAAAAATGATATAATATGTAAGTTAAACTATAAGTGTAGAGAAAGTAAAATCTTATTTGATGGTAGTGGTACTCTGTGTAGAAATGATGAAAGCATAATACGTTCCGACATCACAAACAACAAATAAAACCAAGAGTTGAACATCTTTCTCCGTTGCATAAAGACGATTCGAAAGAGAAGCAAGCTTCAGCAATATTGTAAAAGTGGCCAGGATGAGTATTCGTGTATCCGCTCGCGAACCAACCGCACTGTATGAGTTTACGAAAGAGAGGTGCTGCCATTTGAGAATATGCGAGTGATACCAGTTTAATTAAATTATTTCGATCAGATATTTGAATATTCAATTGGTCGAGAGCAATTCGATCATATATACGACGAATAATACCTTTAATTTGCCTGTTGAAATAAATATCAAGCGGATGTATCTTGTCCGTCGTCTTGTCGGCTATTTGTAGTCGTTTCAAACCTTTCACTTTCCTATAGATTTTATCGTCGTTTTGTCCTCGCCATGAATCAGAAAGAAGTTGACATTTTTTAGACATATTTGGAATGAGAACATAGTCACGCCAATACTCAACATGCGAACTAGTGAGTTTTCCAGACTTCGAACAGGTATCAATAATATTATCAGCTCGAAACATTTGGGATTGAACATCTAAAATTGAGCAAAGGTTAATAAACTTTAAGAGGTTGAGAATTTAAAATTCACCTTCACTTATTCGACCGTTCGATTCCTGAAGACATAAAAAAAGAGGTCCAATGACCTGCCCCTCCATATTAACAATAGATTGAATAGTATAGCAATGAAAATTTGCGTTTTGAGATGTTACTGAACCTATTGTCGTCTTTTCTCCTTTAAACGTAAGTGTTCGATTGCTTCGAAATTCCTTTACCAAATTAACTTGATCCGTATTAAAGATTTCATATGAAGAATAATTTTTCATCTCTGCTCGGACTACATTAACAAATTCTCCAGCTGATGCATTAATTTCGTCGACATTTTTTCTCGAATGTCTACTAACAACTTTAGAAACTTTCCAAGAAACAATTCGATATTTTTGTTTGAAATACGTAAGCCAATGTTTGGAAGCGGAAAATTCGTTTATTGATAGTTGTCGAGCTTTCATTATACCCCAGCGTATCAGATCCGCATCATGAATACAAAGAGATTGTTCGCGAGCATCTTTAAACAAGCCGAATACAAACAAATTGATCTCTGCTACTTTTTGTCTCACTGATCCACCAAGACGAACGTACTCTCGAAAGCAAGAAATGTCTTATTGATGACGAATGCAACGAAATCGATAAGCAACGGTCTTCCAACTATGTGCTCGTTTTCCATTCTTGTCAGTTTCATCATAATAGTTCAGCACCTTCTTCATATAATCGAGGGAAAATTCTTCTCCTGATTGTCCATCACTTCCTATTGTTTCTTCTTGTGACTCTGAATGTGAGTCACTTTCTTCCATTGCTTCTGCAGATTCTTCGTACTCATGGCATTCACTTGCTTCAAATTCATCTTCTGATAAATCCTCGGATGAATCTGTCTCATCAAGTGTAGATTCATCATGAATTTCAAATGATGAGGCTGATAAAAAATTTTAAATAGTTTCGAAGACATGCTCGATCAGTTGTTGGACTTGTTTATCTCTTGTCGATCGGTAGATATCATTCCTTAAAACACGTTCAGATAGCATAGTTATAATATCAGCTGCTTCGATCACCTTTTTAGCTCAATAATAGTTAGCGATACAAGATTTATATATATATATATACATCAAGCACTACGCACCAACATCTGTATAGCACACACGTAGTCGACAAGTATAAACAACTGTTTTTCTTTTTCTTTTTTATTCTGTCTCCTCTATGAGAGTTTAACTTTACATGTCTTATACAATTAGAATTTGATGTTTTTGGCTCCAAGAAAAGAACTAAATTGAAATTAATTCTACAGACAGCTATTTGTGGGACTAGCTGTAAAAAAAATTAACGCTAAAGTCATTACGATTCCAGAAAACGATTTTTTCAAAAAAGCCGATAAAAAGCCTGTTTTTTGACATACATAATGGTTGTATCTCGGGAAGGAAGAACCATGGACATGAACCCTTTTAGAGTTTTCTTAGTCTCACTGAAACCTACTTATAGACAAAAGATAGAGTCAAAAGCTTTTAAACAGTTGGGGTACCTCCCTCGTTCGTTGTCTAATTTTTTTTTGAAGGCCGTACAGAGAATCCTGACATTCTATAAGTTTTTATTCACGAAAGGAACAAGATCTGAATAAACCAATATCAAAGCAGTTATATATTACTAAAATACTTTCATTTTATAATGTTTCCGGAATGGGGGAAAATATGATGATTTTGGATAGGATCCTTTTAGCATTTTTCGAACAAAAATAACAAAAATTCGAACTAAGATAGGCTGTTCAAGTTGAAACCACTCGTGGATTTACTGAAAGCGAGATTTTTGTCAATATATATGCCTGGCTCGTTTATTACTATCGACAAAACTATGATACCATGGCGTGGCAGGCTTTTGTTTAAACAACACATTCCTGGAAAAGCGTACAAGTACGGCGTAAAGATGTACAAGCTAGCAACTACCAATGGATATACCTGAAATTATGTGATCTATACTGGTGAGCAAGATCCCATGACAGGTCTTGGGCATGCTCAAATAGTGGCAATCAATTTATTAGATGGTCTTTCGGGATGTTATAGAACTGTAGTAGCTGATAACTTCTTTACCAATATTTCTCTTGAGAAACGTTTGTTAGGACACGATACGTGTCTTACTGGAACATTAAGAAATAATCGTGCCGAATCGGAAAGCAAAGTTCTTCAGAAAAACCTTAGATGCAGTGAAGTTTACAGGCTCGAGAATAAAGACGGCATAAAATTAATCATGTGGAAAGACAAAAAAGAAGTCTTGATGATATCGACAAGATCATCGCATTCAGCAACTGTGGTGCACTCTGGAAAGACTAATAGTAAAAACGAATGTATCATGAAGCTACAAGTTGTAATAGATTATAACGAAGAGAGACAATGTAGTGATTTATCGGATCAGCTATCAGCGTATTACGCGCGCCTCAGAAGCTTAAGAAAGTGGTACTGAAAGGTGGCATTTGAGTTGGTTCTTGGGACGGCAATAGTAAATAGTTATTTGATTTACAAGAAAAGCTATTACTCGAGCGCCGTGACCATTGTACAGTTTTGCGAAAGTCTTCTCCAATATCTACTGCTTGGTACGCCATTAGAGAAGCTGAAACCTGATCCGAAACAATAATCAGCAAGTCGTTCGAAGTGCAAACTCGCTGATTACAAGCTCGAAGAACAGAGAGGATCTATGCGCAATGTCGACAGACGCTGTACTGGCTGCTACGCAAAGAAAAGAGCACAGCAGTCAAGAGAAGCGAACTATGCGACAGCAAAGAAATTAAAAACTTTCTGTTCTGACTGTGATAATTGTTTTTGTCTTGATTGTTTTAATAACAAGCATCATGCTATGGAATAAAAGACTCAAATAAAGTACTGAAGGTAGAATAGATGACACAGTATGTTTAACCTCTTGCCAAAGAAAAAAGCAAAAGAAAGTGCTTTTCTATACAGTTTCTCGTTAAAACATAGCCTGGCCTATCGGTAGGCCACATCGTACCGAATTTGTTAAGTAGACAGCTGCTTCGACATTTCCTAGTCTTATTATATTGAACAGTCTTCTGAAGGCTGAACACATGAAACAAAGTAATTGGTTCACGTTATAATTGAAAAAACAAATTAATATACTAAGTGAATGGTCATACTGTAAAAACAATGTAAAATAAAAACCCTTCAACAATGTTGGGTAGGGGTGTCGCATTAAAGCTAGCATTAGTATTTATTAGTGCTAATTCTCATGCTTTTGGTATCAATATTATTTTTTACCCTAATGCTTTGGCATTATTTTGTGTTAGCGTTATTAACACTGAGGTGTTAGCATTAGGTTAACGATTAATATAATGCTAATATATATACTCTATGGAACTTTTGACGACTATCTAGACATGATAATGATATAGGTGTGCGTGCTGGAATGGATGTCAATGCGGGTGTGGAATGTGGATGAATAGGTGGGGGGTGTAGGTGTAGGGCGTGGGTATAGATGAAGAGAAGATTGACACCCACACCCACACCGTTTTTCTTTCGACACATCTTTAAGTGCTCTCTTTATAAGAGAGATAGAGCCGATTCAATCTTTGCACACTATATAGTTATGCTATAAAAAATGTCTCTAGGTTAGCGAGCAGAAAATTGTCGTGGTAATCAACGAAAGAGAAATTCTTTCCATCTACTTTGAATGAGAAAAAAAAGTTTTTCTTTTCTTCTGCAAAAAAAGAAAATTGATATTTTTTTTGATGAAAAGAACGAGCAAAGGGAATTTTTTTTGTTTAACTTACTGCAATCTTTTTGATGTTAGTAATGTATGGAAGCACTTAAAAGTGTAGATTGCCGCTTGCATTATACATTGCTACATTTTAAGAATAGAGGAAAAATAAAATACAAAATTCTGGTTTCCATGACATTATTGTTTTACGGAGAATGTAACGTCATATCATCAGGTCTTTTTCTTTGACTGTAATATTCTCTCATGAAAGGAGTCATCAATTTTCTTTATTGCTTCAACCAACTCAATACTATTTATGAAAATTAAAAGTATATAAAGAAAAGCACCAGTTTGCATCGTTTCATTTTTAGTTTGAAAAAGGAGGATAGGACTATCTCAAACAGCGCACACTGTAATATTTGTTCAAATAATCAAATACTTGGTGAGTATTGTCACAGATATAAAGTAGGGGATATTCACTACTGATTGACAGTTTAAAGTGCTGTTCTTATTTATAGATTTATAAAAAGAACTAAAACTCATGATATACCGGAAAGATAATATTTTCTTCAAAATGTATTATAATTTTATCTGTAAACTTATATGATATCCAAAATGATGTTATTCTGTTTCTTCATATAAAAATAGTAGTGAAAACAAAATATAACAATATCAAAGTATTCTATGGCAGATGAGTAGCCTATTCGATTAGAAAAGAGACCTTTGCATACTTTAATGAAGTAGCTTTTGAACACATTTGGTTTGAAAAATGTTTCAGTAACCCTGTGTATTAGAGCTGGAACCGATTGACTTTTTTCCAACTGATGAGAATAGGCTATTCCGATTATAGGCTTGAACCAGCGAAAAAGTCTCCTTCAGAAGTTGTTTAATACAGAAGATCGTAGTATTTCCGACAAAAGTGAATGAAGCACGTTAAAGTAATTCATGAAAATAAGGTATGGATACACTCGGTCTGATCTTATTACATTTTTATTGAAAATAATTTCTTCTACTTAAATAACTATGTTTAGATTTGCTCGTAATCTCATTTTTTCCATATACTGTCACAATCTAGGCACAAATTTATGTCGGATATCGACATGGCTGCTTATATTGGAAAGAAAAAGAAAATACAATGAAAAATTCACACAAAAAGAGAAGACATAAAAGAGAAGTTTCTAATTACATACACTGTCTTGGTTATCATACCGCTTCGCTCTTACTTTTCTTTTCTGTCCAATTAAATTTTCCTTGCCCGTCTTCCAACTTCTTCTCACCAAACTTATGTCTTAGTGAGTATCAATTGAAAAAAAGAGGATAGGAACAACAAAATAATCATTGAAAAAGAAGATGACACCAAGAGACAACTAAAAGAATTACTAGAAAAAAATAGAAGGATGTGGCTGTAAGTGTGTAGGTGTAGATGAAGGTAAAGATGACTAGGACAGCCATACCCATACCAACACTTGATAAACTTGAATTTGGTGGAAAAATTAAAATGTCGAAAGGTAAAATTACCGAAAAAAACCAAGGAAAAATGTCGAAAATAAAGATATCGAAGGACAAAAATGTAGAAGGATAAAAATGTCGAAAGACCTTGAAAGACTATGAAAATCGGATGGAGATGATTGTTATTTTAGTTTTATGATAAGGACCTTTTATTTAAGTATGAGATTCATGACAATTATAATTTGAGAAAAAAGTTTTTAACAGTAATAAAAACTATACAATAATGAAATAACAAACATAGCTGAGTGCATCATATAATATTAAACGAATACATTTTATTTTGTTTTCTTTGCAACTAAGTATGATAATCCAGTAAGAAGATTAGATACATTCATAAGTTTATTAGAAAATCGATTTTGAAGTGTATCGATACGATGTTTAATAACTGTTGTTCGAATATTTTTTGGTTTTGTTGCACCAACAGATCACTGAATCGCGATATATTGTACCCTTTTCTCTACATTTTGCATAAACTTTATAAAGGTCACAAATGTTAGGATGATGTCGATATATGCGAACATTCAGCCTGTTGTGCTATCTTTTGAAAAGAAAGAGAATAACTTTCAAATTCTATCTGTTATTCTCACCTTCGCAAATATTGTTTGTTCGCATCTCACATTTAGACATGTTCCATAACTCTATATTTAACAAATAAATTTCTTTCAACATAAAGTAATAAATCTTGAATAGAAATAGCATTTAATTGATCAGTAGCAACACGAATTTCACTAAAACCACTTATCACTTGCTCCTACGCCATTAAAGCTAATATCATGACTTTTCTGCATAATATTCTTAAACATTCATCAGCTAAATAATCCTGTTGCATTTCCAAATTTGTTATTTGACGATAAATGGCTTGACAAGAATGAAAAAAAAGGCAACATGTTTTGCTGACGGAATCTAGAAATAAATCAGTGAAAAACGAACTAAAGTCTATTTCATAGCATTTATCATTCATCTCTAATTTGATAACGGGTATAACACCAGATTCAAAATCAGTCATGATCATTGTAGGTGGAAAAATTGTACCATATTCTAATGCCATTTGTTTAAGTTCACTGAAAATATGTCTGTATGTAACAGCTGTTTTATTGGCTAACAAGCAAAAGGCACATGGCACACTTTAAATAAAAAAAGAATTATTTCATATAGAAGAACTGTTGCTTACATTAATCAAAAAATATTTCATGGATTATATATATTTGAGTGAAATGCAGCAGACTTTTTGAATATATGCCGTCCATATATACAATAGGTGATTGAAATAGTAAATCTAGTTGACGATCGCTAGAAAATATTAACACACGTTAACGTCGTGCGATTAATTCATCACATAATAGGAAACATTTTCCATGAATAGTTGTTTTATAATCATCAGAAACATCGAATGAACATGATTGTGGTAATAATAGCACCACCTTTTGTCAAGCTTTAGTAACACTCAGACCTATTAAATGAAAAAGAAATACAACTAAGTATTGACTCTTAACAAATATACCAATTTCATGATATACAGGTAAGATAGCCAAAATTGTTGAGCTTACAGTTGTGTTCGAAATTTCTTGCTCATAAATCATAGAAATCGGCAAGAGTTCATTGACAGCTCGTTGTTTTATTTTGTGACAAACTTCTCCAGCTGTAACCATATCAGGATTAGGTTCATGATTGTGTTGATCTGTACCACCATATAGATATGTATCACTTGGATCTGTATGTACATAAATTTTGCATCCATTACTAATGCACACCTAATACTTTTTACTAGCTGGTTTTTTCTTGCATTTGTATAAATAATTAATTGTTCAATACTAACAGTGATTGCTCTTTGTTTGACATAATAAATGTAATATTAGTATCATATTTCTCAGACCGCTTGGGTGTTATATCTATGATCAAATTTAATTGATTTCAGTTATTGATGTTATGTTAGATTAAGTATACATATAATGGATATTTATTTTGTTTGTTTGCTTAGTTGTGTGGATTATACTTTGTTGATCCTCATGACCAGTTATGTAATCGACCAATGATACTACTTAAAAGTATAATGCATTATACTTATCAACTGTTAGCATCCTCTTTCTTCAAATGCTCTAAACAATATCGTTACGGTGTTCAACTTCTTTGACTTCAAATAGTGCAAGATTCTTTCGACATTCTCACTATCGACCTTTTAATCTTTCGATATTTTAACTTTTGATACTTCTATTTTCAATATTTTTATTCTCAATTTTGTTACCTGTTGATATTTTTACTTCCGACATTCTTATTTCTGCATTTTTACTTTGACATTTTTATCTCGACGTTTTTATTTGGACATTTTTATGTTCAGCATTTTTACCTTTGACGTTATTCCACTGAATCACACACCCACACTCACACCCATACCCACACCCAGCAAAAGAGCGTGTGAATCAATCTATTCAGGAGCACTATTTTGTTTGTTTAGATGTCAAATTTTATATCTATCTACAGTATTTTTATCGGCATTCTCACAATAATTATTATAGCACAAATATGCTTAAGTATATCGCGGAAATTCCTTTTAATAAAATATAAGTTGTCGGTTAGCGAATATTCTCGACATACGCACACTACACTTCCGAATCATCGATTACTGATATGGATCACTGCATATGATGAGAAACAAGATAGAGACATGTATGTAGTGCATCAGCTGTCGATGGCTCATGATCTATGCAATACTACTCATGCAAACATGAGTGTGCGTCTGATCATTGGTACCTGCTCTTCAAATTGGATTATAAACAAGCAGTTGTCTGATTTTCAAATTCGACATAAAGATTTAATGAAAAGTTCTAATAGTTCAAATTATCTGGGTGCACCAGATGGAACCAAGGTTCTTGTTCATTTTCAATGAAAATGTGTCGACTACGCGATTTTTTTCTATACGACAAATTTAGGACTCGCGTTACCCTCTGAACACAGAGATTACTTTTCAAAGAACTTGTTACTTTTCGATTGGTTCTGGTATTCAGAAGAAGATCTCACTTCCACTTCAACAGTGTATTGGAAGCTTGTTAATGACACTTCATATACATTGTTCAATATGTCAGCGAATGAAACAAAAGAATTGATTTCACTTTACATGCATAAGGTTAGTCTTCCTCCTCAAACAACATTCGGTCGGTTATATTTTCTTCCGGGACTATTACGATTCGAGACTCAAACTTCGAAGTTGAATGACTCTTTACCTTTTCCTCAGCAATTAAACCAAATATTTCTTACTGATTTGGGATTGGCAACTTCGCCGACAATTAATTCTCTTGTTAAATTTGATAAACGATGGTGGATAGCACCAACAAATCCTTATTCTGCTTACTATTTGTTGCCCCAAGCTCATCTCTACAATATCATAAAAACCAGTGAGTGGTCAACTATTCGCGATAGGACATATCGAGAATGGTTCGCCACTCTTAGTTTAACCAGCGCTCATGGATACATTAAAGTTACATCACTTACTGATATAAAGAATTACGTCGTGCACCATGCGACTAATCGATATATTAATAGTGCTGCACATCATATGCCAAGGCTCTCGATGATAATTCAAGAGCTTGGATTTACAAGTTTCGCTGACAAGTGCGTCCCAGAGTCGGATCTACTGGAAGCAGACCTTATGAATTATAGAAAAAATCATACTCATGACATAGGACAATGTTTTCCACTTTCATTCACTATACTATCTGATCATGATGGAAAAGTAATTTGTGATGTACTTTCGAAGTATCATTCTAGGAAAAAGTCGAATCAGACAAAAGGTCAATGAAATGATGCAATCGTACACAACACAGTGTTTCAAAAATTCACAAGAAAATAATATATGAGATCCTAGTGCCACTATATTGGAGTGTCATCACTTACGAAATACTTAGCCATGCTCGGCGAACTGCTTCATCAGAACCCTTTCTCTCTACGCTTTTCTTCTCCTTTTTCGCGTTTTGATTGGTTTATTTCTTTTTCTCTGTTACTTCTGCTATTTTTTTCCCAGTCTTGTTTCAGTACTAACAGCTCATAATTGTATGTTACAATCACTACTGAAAAGTCCTTGACTGATCAGACATTCGTCTGCTATTCTACAAGCAAGCTTATCAGAAAGGTGCGGTATGTATGGGGTGGGATGTGTAGTGTGGGTGTAGATGAGTGTGTGGATGTGGGGTGATCGTGAATGAGGTGCGGTTTTCTGTGGGTGGATATGGGGAGTGTGGGTGGATTTACAAAACGGCTACACTAATCCGTACATGCACATCCGATACCCACACCCCACGTCCCCACGCCCCCACACCCACGCTCTATTCCACACATCCACATTCCACACTCATACCATCCACCCCTATTCATAATTTGAATGAAACATCGTATGTTGGTTCGGATAGCCGCTCCAAATTTTGTTACTAAGACACACTACATGTTTTCTTCAATACTGTCTTATACAATGTTGACGATGATCTGATAATAATCAAGTCATAATTCGCTGTTACTTTTACAGTAGAACCTGTTGCATCCATAGGACTGTGAACTTCACACAATTAGAGTTGGATACAATTGGTTTCGAAAAGAGGCATGCATTTATTTCAAAAGTTAAGGCTATAAAAAATGGAAATATAGCTGAAAAATACATCTCCTAGCCAGACAAACTCTTTTTGGGGAAAAATTAGTGTGTAACGTTAATTTATTGATGAAAAGATAAGTCATCAATAATGCTGATTTTTTCGTGGGTGTGGTTGTCGATGTGGAAGTCATGATAGTCTTCATCAGCAAACACTCGCAAACCCTATTCACACCCACATCCATCTAGATTTTCAAAATGCACTGGAATTGTTTTGTCTACAATGGTGATGCTTAATATGAAATGTTTTATTTGGAGAGTGACAAGTGTCAGGCTAAAAATCATCCAAATCAATGATTAGATGGGAAGAGGCTGAAAACAAAGATATCGGAAGGAAAAATGTCGAAAAAATTTGTTACAGAAAAAATATAGAAAAGAAAAACGTCGAAACGTCAAAATATCTAAAAGAAAAAGATCGAAAGAAAAAAGTGTGAAAAGAAAAATATCGAAAGTTATGACTATAAAATGCCGCGCGGTTCCAATCTTTTAAATATTCTTCATTTCGTTGATCCATACTTGTGTTGATGTTCATCACTCTGATTACAATATATATATACATTCGTAATAGAATGAATTACATTCCATTATTCTAATCTCTTTTCCATTGACATCTATACATTACTTCTTCTTTGATTCGTATTCAAATTAAAGCTCATTATCGACAAACGAAATGAATGATATGAACTTATTTAAGGGTGTGTGGATATGGGTGTGTTCTCAATCCATCGATGTCCACTTCCAAACCCACACCCACATCCCAAAAAGAAAGTATGTGTTGCTATCATGTTAGTAGTTTCTTTGTTGTTTGTTGCAATGAATTTATGAGTAGCAGAAGTTTGTCTGTTCCCTTCTTTTATAGACAATCTCTCCTATACTCAGCTAATACTTTCTTTTTGTCACAAAGTACGACATTTTTTTCTCTTTCTGTTTATATCATAATTATTTTATGAAAAAAATCAGCCAAATACTAGAAAAAACAATCAAGGAGTATAATGGAAGAGAAAGCAAGAGCGAAAATGAAAAAAAACTGATACAAGATCGAGTATTGACACAAATTGATTGAAATATCATGGACGAATTAAAAAAACGATGAAAAAAAAATGGCCACATACATCTTTCACATTTGAAATATCAGTTGGCGAGGAGCTATCGGGATTTATCTATTGATACATACAATTCAACATTTCATTCAATCATCCTGTATAGATATTTTTTTGAATTAAAACGCGTCTGACATACTTTAGAAACGCACAGGATCAACGCATCCAGATGCAGCACACGAGAGAACCTCTCGAGGTGATTAAAAAGCTTTTGAACTCGAACTACTTTTATTTTTTAGACTCTAGTGAGTAGTGAAATACCTTAAGTTGATGCATCCCTTTATTGCTTCACGAAGGAGTTATGACTGATTTACTGGATTTTTGACTTGTAGCAACATGTGAGTAGCAATAGTGGATGAGTGACTTTGGATCTGAAATTTTATTCATAAAGAGATTCTATGAACCATAGAATGTCCTGAAAGTTTCACATACACAGATTTTATCCACATTAATATCTTGTGGATTAAACATTCTCAGATGAAAGAAAATTTACTTCTAATGATAATCAAACATTGTCGATTATGAGATTTATCTTATCAGTTCATTATTTTTTGTCTGATAACATAGTTAAACTAAGTTTTTCATAATATTTATTTCTTATAGTATGTTCATAAAATATTTTTCATTGAAAATAGTAACTTCTCTCATTAGAGAAAGTAATATATATATAAGATATATCTTTTATTAATTTCTTTAATTTTTATTTTTGACAAAAACTTTAAAAAAATAGAAAGTTTAAACAATGAGCATTTATTTTTAAAATTAGCCACAGAAACATGTTACTTTTCAGAAATTGCAATGAAACTAATGTCCGCGCCAGAATGAAAGAGGGTTGGGTGTAAGTTCAATAACTCGATAACGGTAACAGCTAGCGAC